TTAAATTTTATACTTTTATTTCGATACATATATATATATATATATATATATACTTGGGCATAAATATACATACGTGTGTGTGTGTATATATATATATATATATATATACTTGGGTATAAATATACATACGTATATATATATATATTTTCTCGCTCCCAACTCTCCTGTTGAATTCAACATATGAGGGTCAAGCAGGTCAGTTCCCAGGAAACCGACAGCCCGACAACGGCACATGAGATTTGATTATAGTGGTGAAGGTTTAAGACAGGACCATCCACACATTTTGAAGGGACGAATTCAGAGACCTGGTGCACTAAGTGCCACAAGGTCCCCAAACGACCCTCCACAGGTTTTGAATTCAGAGTTGTCCTTCTCCTAGACAAGTTGCCATCCAAGGCTATAGAACCCTATCTGTCCTGCTATTTACCCATAGCTGGAGGGTGAAAATGAGGATTGACACCTTTCTCAAGGGTATTAGCACGTAAGTGAATGTAATGCATTCGACTGGAATTGGAACTTGGCTCTCTGATTCCTCAATCCAAACCACTATCCATTACTCCACCATGCCTCCTCATTTTATATATATATATATATATACATACACACACACACACACACACACACACACCCACCCACCCATGTTTTACTGGGCTGATTTAAAATCCAACAGACAACAAATAGCACAAATATAAATCTTTCTTTCTCTTTCTCTTGCTATCTCTCTCTCTCTCTCTCTCTTAGACTATTATTCTTGCAGGCTGGGAGTAGCGAAAAGATGGATTCATACCCTTCCCAAGGGTATTTGCATAAACGTAACAAGCTCAACTGGAATTCAATCTCGGTTTTCTGATTCTGCTATTTGTTACTCCACTGTGCCTCCATATATATATCTATATATATATATATATATATATATATATATATATATATATATATATATATTTCATTAAAAACGACAGACAAGGTACTACGGTTGAGCTTTTTATTTAATTTTTAAAATTTTTTCTTGTGTTCTGACACATTACATTACACCTATCTGATCACAGTTCCATCAGAACACATTTAAACACACACTCAGATTTACCCGACACTATTAGGAACATACTAGTAGAAAACAAAAATATATTAACTGCATCCACTTGCAAAAAAAACTATAAATAATGGAAGCTCTAATAATAAAAAAGAAAAAGCCAACTCTTAACAATATCAATTATGAACAAAGCCACAATGTGCTAACCGTATTCGGAAACTAAAAACATCACTACCACACACTGAACATACACAAAACACACACACTCTACTAAGCGGATAATTGAATCATCCTTGATAATGGCTAAAGGTATAGCCGAAAGCGCTCGGAAATACAGAACATTCAGACAGTTCTTACACACTCTTTGTCCAGAAAAGAAAGCTCTTGTCAGAACACAAGAAAAATTAAATAAAAAGCTCAACCGTAGTACCTTGTCTGTCGTTTTTAATGAAACATGCATAAAGGAAGGATTGCTGCCTAAATATAAAATATATATAATATATATATATATATATATATATATATATATATATATATATCCATTATTTAGAAAATTTGCTTTCTTCTCAGTTGGATATGAAACTGTAGAGATATGAAACATATCGGGAGATCTTTGGAGAGGTTTTTGCTTAAAAGGTAAATTCAGCCATTTCTGATCAGCTGGTTCTCTGTAGTTCAATTGGTTAGAGTGTGCTGGGGTAAACAGTAACACCCTCTGGCCAAAGGGACACAGGTTTGAGTCCTGCCAGTGAGCATAATTTTTTTGATAAGATTATTCTTTTTTAGTCAGTAGACAAAAATAAATAAGTATATTTTTTAATAAATAAACATATATATATATATATATATATATATATATACTCAAATATGTGTACGCATTAAAAATAACATTTAAAGCGATAAACACAACCACGTGCACACACACACACGCACACACACACATTCAAAATAAATACGTCTAAATTCACCTTCATCCGTCTGCCAGTGGCTTAGGGGTAAAATCTCCGACTGGTACCAAATCAGTCTGCTTTTGATCCTGGCTTGAGGCAATCGAATGTCTAGCCACTGATGAGCTGTGAAATGGCAAAACAGTCTGTCTGTGGATGACACACACACACACACACACATATATGTATATATATATATATATATATAATTTCATTGAATACAACAGAAAAGGTGCTTTTATTTAGTTCTTTCTCATGTGATCTAACAATTTTTTCTTTTCAGGTGATAAATTATATAAAAACTGTGCTTGTTTTAATCCTTGAAAATGGCTAAATGTATAGCCAAAAGGGCTTGGATAAAAAGAACGTTCAGACAGTTTTTATATAATTTATCATCTGAAAAGAAAAAAATTATTAGATTGCATGAGAAATTGTATAAAAAATCTAAATAAAAGCACCTTGTCTGTCATATTCAATGAAATGTGCATGAAAGAAGGAATGATACCTAAATATACAAATATATATATATATATATACACACACAGAGGAAAAACCTCACATCAACGGACTGATGGGGGGAGAAGTGTGATTGTCCTAAGATAGTAAGGGATTATTTTTTAGTTATAAAACAACTATACTAACTACCAGTAGTTACGATAATAACGTAAGTGCTACAAACATGTGTATATGGCATAAATAAATATATACTGTACTATATATGTACAGCATTGAACTGGATTGAGGTCAATCCCAGTGTGCAACAACTTTGGAAAGTGCCTGAAAACCATGCCACGGGTTGACAAAAGCCTTGTGAACGAAATTGGGTAGATGAAACTCTTGTGGGTCATCGATATCTGTGCTAGCACAAAGCCACAAGTCATTGTGGCAGAGGGCTTGAGTGTGCTCGCCTTGTTCAAATTTTTGATCATGCTAGATAACACACTCTCTCCCAGAAACTGTAACTTCAGCATAATTCCACTATAAACCACAGGTGTGCTCTGTGGGTGTTGAGCAAAACACAAATGTGCCTGAGTGAGCATCTGTCATAGGGATTGGCTAGCCGCCCTAGTAGATGGGTATCCTTGAATATGAGTGGCCAGCTATATATATATATTCAATGTATGTATTCACTATAGTTCAACAGTTTGAAGTCACCCCTAGAATTAGCATGGGATGAACTTGACAAAAGAGTGGAAAAAAAAAATGAAAAAAAGAATAAAATCAATTATCATACACATATACTTTGAGAAACTTTTGCAATGAATGCCAAAAATTTGTGCTGCAGTAATCAGAGCTAAAAGAGGATATTTTGATGAGAGCAAAATTTAATCATAAAATGCTTTTTTTTTTTTTTTTTTTGTGTGTCATAATAAAATCTCTATCTATAAAAGGCAGGATGTGTGTGTGTATGTAATGAATACACGGCCGCAATTTTCAACGGATTTGCACCAAAATTTACATGTACATGCTCCAAGTTAGTGAAAAGGCCAAGACTGATGTTGCATTTCCCAACTTCCATCAATAGTGGAAATAATCGATTTTTCCATGCTTCTACGCCAGTTTTCATGTCGTTTGCAGCCATTTTCTACTGGCCAAAGTGACAGCCTATTGCTGGCTGCCACGAATAGGCAGGAAGATTATATTGGTCAGTGTAAGAGCCAACAGCTGACTGACATGAATGTTAACTAGCATGCTAGCATGCAAAAAAAATTGATAGCTGCATTCGTCACAAGTGGGAAAAATTTAAATCTGCATTGTACTTTACTCCAATTGACTCATTCGCTTGCTTAAACACAATGTTGGGTGTGAAAAAGTATTTGTTTTTAACATTCTTTTTTCATTCTGTTTTTCCAGTTATGAGTCCTTTTTTAAAGCTGATCATTTTGTGTTCATTTTGTTTAGTTCTTTTTTCGTAACAGATTTAATGTTTGGTATGTTTAGTGTGAGATAGGCAAGAAGTAAGGCATGTAGCAACATCAGCACGGCAAAGGGCACTCCTTTAAAGGCAAGGAAGGGCAAAAATATTTTAAGTCAAGTGATAGCGATTGCTGTATGAGTCGTACGATTTTTGAATCGAGCACGGGCAACGCCAGGCCATGCTGCTAGTTTCTAATAAAAAATCATGTCTAACATTTTTTAACCATGCATAATATTTTTCTCTTAATATACAAAGTAACTACTTTTGGGGCCAATTTAAAACAATATCTGGTGCAAATGTTGCAATGTTTGTGTTTTAACTGATTTAACTGGTTTTTAGTTTGTGTCGTATTTTTTATCGCAAGATTTCGGCTTTGAATCTGGAAAGTATATTTTCACTGCGTAACATTTTTCCAATTGATATGGCCTGGTCATTGGTGAGCTTAGTGTTTGAGTTGCTCTGCGTATGTGGGAAGATAGTCGTGGAAGTATTTAGCAAAAGATATTTGTGCTATTCAGTACTTTGAAAATGAATTTTGGAATTACTTTTTCGGCAGTACAGTTGCGTAGGAAATTCCTTCTGTTTTCTAGAGAATAACCACATAGGTTTCTTTTGCCATAATGAAATTTCTAATAAAAAATCATATCTCACTTTTTTTTTTAAACCATGTATAATAATTTTCTCTTATTCAATATACAAAACAACTATTTTGTGGGGCCAATTTAAAAAAATACCAGGAGTGGCCTCAAACTTTTGACTCATTGCTTAATATCTTTTTTTCATGTGCATTTTGCTATTTGCTGTTTTTAATGTGCTTGACTGCTTCTGTGCTTCAGCTGAATAAAAAGCCAATGACTGAAACGAAAGACATGGAAAAACTAGGACATTCCTGGATTCTTAAATGAAGTTGCAGCCTGCAGTCATAATAGTCTCTCCTTTACATATTAAAAAAACTCAAGTCCACACCTTGGAACTATTATGAAAAGAATTTCTTCAGTTATGCAGATTTCTGTGTAAGCTTCTATCATTTTCTGATACAAAGTCGTATTCATTATTTCTTTGAATCCAACATTCCTCTATCTGCTTGCGGCTTACAGCACACTATGTTGAAACACCAGTTCTCATATGATCATTAAAGTTAAGCAATGTTGAGCCTGGTCACTACCTAGATGGGTGACTTCTTTGGAATACCAAGTGCTTTAAGCTTAGATGATAGGTAGTATGCCTTATGGCCTTATCATTAAAACACCGGTTCTCATATGATCATTGAAGTTAAGCAATGTTGAGCCTGGTCACTACATAGATGGGGAAACTGCTTTGGAATACCAAATGATGTAAGCTTGGATGTGTGGGTAGTATTCCTTATGGCCATATCACATTAAAACACCGGCTCTCATACGATCATTGAAGTTAAGCAATGTTGAGTCTGGTCACTTCATAGATGGGTAACTGCTTTGGAATACCAGGTGCTGTAAGCTTTGATGTGTCGGTAGTATGCCTTATGGCCATATCACATTAAAACACCGGCACTCATACAATCATTGAAGTTAAGCAATGTCGAGCCTGGTCACTATGTAGACGAGTGACTGCTTTGGAATACCAGGTGTTGTAAGTTTGGATATGCGTGTAGTATGCCTTATGGCCATATCACATTAAAACACCGGCTCTTGTACGATCATTGAACTTAAACAATGTTGAGCCTGGTTAGTACCAAGATGGGTGACCTCTTTGGAATTC